ATGCGTCTTGTTCTTTGAGGTCTGCTTGTACTTGGTATATCTGTCGGTTCCTCTTGTCGAACTTCTCTTTTGACTTGAGTTTCTGGCTCTTCGAATAGGATTCCCACTGAATCTTTCTTGACATTTTCAGTCCAATCCCATTCTTTAAACTCATCTATGATCACGTCCCTGCTGATCACAATCTGCTTGTTCTCTGGATCAAACAACTTGTAGCCTCCTGTCGAATGATATCCAACTAGAATCATTTGACTTGTCATCGAGTTTTCTTCTCAACTGATCTGACACATGTCTATGTGCAATAGATCCAAATACCTTCAGATGACTCAAGCTAGGCTTCACACTAGACCAACATTCTTCTGGAGTAATTCCTTCTAGCTTCTTTGTAGGACATCTGTTCAAAACGTATGTTGCAGTCGAAACAGCTTTACCCCAAAACTCTTTAGGTAAATTCTTGCCTTTCAACATGCTTCTCACCATATTCATGATGGTTCGATTCTTCCTTTCCGCAATTCCATTTTGTTGTGGAGTATAGGGTGGCACCACCTCATGCAAAATCCCTTCCTTTTCACATAGCCTTTAAAAATCTTTCGACACATATTCTCCACCACCATCAATTCTCAAAACTTTGAGTTTTCGACCACTTTGTCTTTCGACCATAGACTTAAACTTGGCAAATACCTCGATCACTTCACTTTTCTTCTTGATCAGATAAGTCCACAGCTTTCGACTGAAATCATCTATAAATGTAACAAAGTATTTGTTACCTCCCATCGAATCCACCATGATTGGTCCATATACATCAGAGTATATGACTTCAAGACTAGCCTTCGATCTGCTTCCTGCATCCCTGCTGAAGTTATTCTTGTGTTGCTTCGCCTGCACACATTCCTCACATACCTCGTTTGGAATGTCGATTTATGGCAATCCTGAAACCATATTTCTTCTCTTCAAATCTAAGATGTCTCTGAAGTTGAGATGGCCTATTCTATAATGCCATATCCATTCATCTCTGCTAGCTGCAGTCGAAAGGCACTTGTGCTCCATCACATTTAGTTCAATCTTGAAGGTTCGATTCTGAGACATAGGAGCCTTCAAGATTAATCTCCCATTTGCATCAACGACTCTCATCATCTTATCTTCGATTGACACTTTATAATTCTTTTCGATCAACTACCCTATACTGAGCAAATTGATCTTCATGCCTAGTATGTATAACACATTGGAGATTACTGACCTTTTGCCATCTTTCTTCATAATCATAACATCACCAATACCTTCAGCTGCTAAGGTATTTTCATTTGCAAATTTTACCATATTTTTCATTGAGAGCTTTATATTAACAAACCAGTCTTTCCTTCCAGATATATGTGATGAACATCCTGAATCCAAGTACCATTGGTCCTTGAATCTATCTTCATCTTTTGTTATGACCATCAGCATCATATCTTCTTCTTCTTCATGTTTTGCAAGCTTTGCATCACTTTCTAGATTCTTTCGTTTTTCTGGACAATCACTCGAATAGTGACCATACTTCTGACAATTGTAACATTGAATGTGACTCTTATCAGGTTTTCGACCACCACCTCTTCCTCTATTTGCAACACCACCTCTTTGGTTGTCTTGGTATGGTTTTCTTTGATTCGACACGTTTCCTTCGATCTGGTTTCCTCTACCATTCAATTTGTTGTAGCCACTTCTACCTCTGTCGAAACATTTTCCTTTGACTTTGGTCTCTTTTGTTGAATGTGCCTGCAGGGCCACATCACTCTTCGACTTGCCTGCAGCTCTTTCGTTCATTCTTTGTTCATAAGATTCAAGCGTCCCTTAAAGCTCTTCCTTTGTCAATTTCGACAAATCTTTCGCCTCTTCTATCTCCACCACTATGTGGTCGAACTTAGGAGCTAAAAATCTCAAGATCTTCGAAACAATAGCTCTTGTTGTTAACGTTTCTCCATATATCTTGATTTGATTTACTAGTTTTGTAACTCTAAGGAAGAAATAAGATATGCTTTCACTGTCTTCCATCTGAAGCAGTTCATAGGTCCTTATGTGAGTTTGTAACCTCACTTATTTCACTTTCTCAGCGCCTCCAAAAGACTTCTCAAGGATTTCCCAAGCTTCTTTTGCAGATTCTGAATCACTAACCTTTTCGAAATTGTCTGGGCTGACACATTGATGAATTATAAATAATGTTTTATAACTCAGCTTCTCAGATTCTGTATATTTCTTCTTTTCTTCTTCTGAAGCATTTTCTCCAAGCGCTTCGACTCCATCTTTTCCAAGGTCCCAAAGACCTTGACGCCTGAATAAGACTTTCATCTGTTTGCACCAATTCTCATAGTTGTCAACTTTCAGAATTGGTAGCATTGTTGGATAGTTTGCATTCCCATAACTTGTCATCATGAATTCTTCAATCGTTCTTGATTGATACTTCCCTTGAATCGAAACAAAGCTCTTGATACCAGATGTTGGAAATCCACCAAAGTCTATGATGAATTTCTACCACAATGACAATTCAATTATGAGACAAACAAAGAAAAGAAGACAAGACAAATAATTTCTGCAGAGTTTCGCTCTGCTCACAAACTGTGAAAACTTTGTTATTCACTTGCAACTGCAAATTCGGTGAATACAACTTGCTTGACTTGCTTACAAAAATAGGGGTTACTCCCTCTATTTATAACCGAGCTTACACCCTAAGCCCAAAGCCCAAAATATCTTTTTGTTACTAAATAAAATCTAATTTATTCTAGACTTAAATCAAATCTATTTAAATCTAAAACAAATCAAATCTTTTCGACACATAGTTTTGACACACTGAATTACAATTTAACAATATTTAATAAATATTCACCTAAAAAATAATATTTAAATATTCTCAACATAAAAACATATTTTAAATAGTTTAAATGTGAAAGATGTCTAACTATTATATTCAAATTTATCAAACTTTAATAAAGAGGCCGATGTTGAGACATTGTCGAAAACAATTTCTCTAAAATATAATATTATTTTCAGATTTTATAAAAAAGTAATGTATTAAAAAAATAGACAAAATTATGTCAATGAGTTTTTAACTTTAACCCTTTTCTTTTTTGTAGATTGATTTTTTAAATTTAATATTTTTTCTTCTGAATTGATTATTTATGTAAAATTATGTTTGCATAGTTGACCTTTAAGTTATGATTTTGTTAAGGGTGTTAAAAATCGAATGAGCTCAATAAAAAATTGTCAACTAAATTAAAATGAAATTAAAAAAATTATATTTAATTCAGATGTATTTAAGTTATTTTCTAATAAATCTATATGGTTCGATTCGATTTGCGATTTACGGTTTATATTGTATACGTATAAAATATATTTAGACATGTGTATATTTGAAATAAGTGACTTAATTATAAATGAACAATGATCATATAAACTCAATTGTATTAAATAACCATATAAAAAGGATCCGTGAGATGGAGAAAAAAATGAATTTTAACATTTAAAAATAAAAATTGTCTCTCAAATAAAGGTAATTATTGAGTAAAATAAAATAGATATTGTATTCATAATGACTCCTGAGATAAAAAAATTATTTGATGCGATATAAAAAATATTTATATACAAATGCAAAATTTGAAATGATTTACTTAATTGTAAAATAAAGAATAATCATATAAAAAGAAGAAAAAATGTGAGATGGAGAAAAAAAACTTAATATTTAAAAATAAGAATTTTGTCTCTTAAATTAAGACAATCGTTGACTAAAATAAAATAGATATATTTTTAATAGTGACCAAAGAGATAAATAAATTTTTTATTTTATTAAAATAAAAAATAGATTATTAGTATTTTTAGTGGTAATAAATAAATAGAGATAAAAAAGTTAAAATGAAAATGAGAAAGTGTGGGAAAAAGAAATGTGTAAAAGATTTGAAATTTTAATCAAGAGAAAGAATGAGTATGTAATATTTAATTGTGATTTAATTGGTTAAAGTAGAAGAATGAATGTCACATGTCATGTTGTAATAGGAAATAAGAATGAAGAAAAAGTAAACATTTCTTGATTACTTAAATTCCTTTTTCTTAGTATAAATAATTTATGATGAAAGGACAATTTAAGAAGTTCATGCAATTCATTTTTAATAGATAGAAAGTAGATTTAAAATGATTTACTTAATTGTTAAATAAACAATAATCATACAAAAAGAAAGAAAAAAGTAATATGGAGAAAGAAAAAAATTAATATTTTTTTATTGATAAATCAATTATTTATTGCATCAATTAAGAAACTGTACAAGGTCCATAAAACCAAATAAAGACAAAATTACAATTTTTTATACCACTCTTTTCACTATCAGTATACCTATGATTCTCTATATTGTCTATTCTATTTAGAACATCTTCTTTCATCTTTTTAACTATCATGCTCGGGTTCCACACCTTCTGATTCCAAAGAACCTCATTCCTAGCTCTCCAAATGTGATAAACCATAGCTAGCACAGCAGAAGCATACACCTTCTGCTTAAGCTTCTTGACTTTACCTCTTACAATCCATCTAATAACTGCAACAAGGTCCATCTTAACAATCTTCCAATTGAGCCAACTTTTTATAGCTTCCCAACACCTTGTACTGAACCTGCAACTAAAAAATCAATGATGCCTACTCTCATCAAACTCATCACATAACAAGCAATTTTTATTATCCACAATATTCATCGTGTGCAACCTAGTTTTTGTTTTAAGCCTATCATGCATAGCTATCCACCCAATGAATCTATGCTTCGGAATAATATTAGTATCCCAAACAATTTTATCCCAATGGTACTTCTCACCATTCCCCTTAAAAATTTTATAAATCTTTTTGATATTATACTTCTCTTTCTCAATAGACTGCTTCTTGGTCTTTAAACTGTCTTTGACCTCCATAATTTTCTTCCAATACTAACTCCCTTGGGATGGAACGCCATAATCCCACCAGTCAGCCTCTTTTAGATACACTTGGTTAATGCATTTTATCCATATATTGTCCTTCTTCTAGAAACATTCCAAACATGGTTCCCAATGGCTTCCATATTCCACACCTTGCTATTAGTGAAGCCTAATCCACCTTTATGCTTAGACTTAACAACTTTATGCCAAGCAATATTACTAGCAGACTGATTATAAGCCTTACCAGTCCATAAGTAAGCTCTACATATGGAATTAATGTCCTTGAACACCTGCTTTGGTAAAACAGTAATCTGAATCCAATAAACATGGAAAGTCGTCAACACAGAATTAACTTGAATAACTCTCCCAGCAAACGACAAAGCTCTAGTGCTCCAAGATCTAATTTTACCTATTATCTTTTCAACCAGATTTTGACAATCTTGAGCTGATATCTTTTTTTATTTAATCGGCATTCCTAAGTAAGTAAAAGGCATTGCCCCTACTAAAACCAGAGGCATCGGTCACTCTCTTCATATCTTTCTCTTTCATACCTCAGCATAAGACATTTGTCTTTTCTTTACTAGGATATAAGCCAGAAGTTCTAGAGAATAACTTCATACCTTGCAACATCTTGTAAATGGGGATAAACTTACCCTTACTAAACAAGAGAACATCATCTGTAAAGCATAAATGATTCAACTTCAAAGTCTTGCAATTATCATGATACTTGAACTCCTCCAAGTCTCCAACTTTCCTCATAATCCTAGACATGTACTCCATCCCAATCACAAATAACAAAGGAGACATAGGATCTCCCTGTCTCAGTTCTCTCTTGGACTTGAAGTAACCATGTAAAGAGCCATTCATCATTAAAGAAAATTTTGGTGTTCTAACACAGTTCACGACCAAACCAATAAAATTCTTAGGTAAATTTATCACATCCATCATCTCTTCAATAAAGTCCCACTCAGTTGTATCATAAGCTTTTTTTACATCTAACTTTATGATACAATTCGGACTAACATTCTTTCTACCATAATATTTGACTAAGTCTCGACAAAGCATAATATTATAGGCTATGAATCTACCCCTAATAAAACCACCTTAATTCTGAGCTATAATATAAGGTAAAATCTCTCTAAGACGACTACACATGATTTTAGAAGCAACCTTATAAATCACATTACATCAAGAGATAGCTCTATAATCACTCACTAGATTTTGGCACTTGGAATTAGGAATTAAGGTGATTGCAGTAGTGTTAATTTCTTTCAGGATATTACAAGAGTTCAGAAAAGAGATGACAAATTTGCTAACATCCTCGCCAATAATCTCCCATTTATCTTAAAGAAAGTAACTACTATAGCCATCCGGACCTGGCGTTTTCTCACCTGGGATATTGTAAACAACCTTCTCCACTTCATCTTCTGCATAAGATCTCCTAAGGAGATCCCTCATCCTCTGATTAAGCTTCTTCCCTTGCTCTAGGATGCTAGTCTTCACATTAATTTTGTTTCTCAAGGAATTCCCAAGTAACTCTTCATAAAAAGAAATGAATTCAGACGTCACCTCTTTGGGATCATTCAACCAAGCACCTCCCCTACTAGTTATAGAAGTAATCCTATTTGGGTTATTTCTTTGGCTAATACTAGCATGAAATAATGTTGTATTAGCATCACCATCATTCATCCATCTATGGTGAGCTTTTTGGGCCATGAACTCATAGTAAGCTTGGATAGTCTCCACAACAACTCTTCTAGCATAGTATTCCTTATCCATCAACATCACATTGACATGATCTTTTCTAAGCTCTTCTTGACTCTCCTCAAGCTTATGCCTAGCTACCAACTCAACCTCTTGAATATTGTTAAACTCTTTCCTGTTGATATCCTTCAACATCTCCTTCATTCTCTTCATCTTATGAAAAACTCTATACATTGGAGTCCCATAATAGGATTTATTCCAACTGTCTTTGAGCATATCTTTGAAACCATGGTATTTATGCCACATTCTAAAATACCTAAAAGGTTTTTCCCCTACCACCTCATGGTCTATGGTGAGAATGATAGGAGTGTGATCAAACTTTCCTTCCAGCATGAAATAAACATTAACATTTGTATGAGAGTTTAACCAACTTTGATTAGCTAAAGCTCTATCAATCTTAGAATAAAATATGTCACTCCCCTACTTCTAATTATTCCAATTAAAATAGCTACCATTATATTTGATATCATACAACTGACAATCTTGAACACATTGCAAAAAGTTACTGTTATTAGGATATCTATCCTTCTTCCAAATTCTATCCTCCCTAGACAGAATATAATTGAAATCTCCCATGATGAGCCAGGGATTACTATTATTCACTTCACTCAAGTCTTTCTAGAGATCCAATCTTTCTTTATCAGTGTTGAAGCCATACACAAAAGTTACCAAACTCTCCCACTGATGCCCTAGGTGCTTGATTTTCAAATGAATAATTTGGATAGTACTCTTCAAGATATCCACCTCATATATCTTAGGATTCCATCCTAACGCCAATCTTCCACCTTTATGACTAGTTATGTTAGATGTGAAACACCATCCAGAAAACACATTATGATACAGGTTACAAAGGTTGTGAGCCTTGATTCTAGTTTCAAGGAGGCACATAATTCAAACCATGTTACAAAGGATCGTATTTTTAATATCTCTTTGTTTCACGTGGTTATTTCCCCCCTGACATTCCAGGCTACAATCCTATCCATTATTAAGAGGGGGTCCTCCCTCCCCTCCTTTCTCAATTGTATTGTTAATAACCATCTCTCCTCTTGAGGTTTCTCCTTCCTCAAAGTTTTTGCAATGTTTGGAAATGGTTTTCAATCACATTCACCACTTGTGCAGCTTTAGCCTTGTATCTAACTACTTTAGTTGCCTTTTGAAAACCATCAGCGTCTCTAATTTCTAGTTGAGGCTTGTCTTCAATCTTCTTTTTCACTATCCATTGTGGCTTCCTTGGTAATATCTTCCTGTAATCTTCCACTCTATACCTCATGCCTTGAAGGTGTGCATATTTGTCAGGTCTCCATTTATATCCCACTCTGATTTCTATATTACCTCCCTTCTCATCTTCAAACTGAATAACATCAGGCAAGTCTGCCTCAGTGGAGACCTCTATCATCACTCTTGGATAGTTAAGCCTATCCCTCAACTTAGTAGCTCTGTCAACCTTCACTTATTTTTTAACTTGCCCAATGATTTTGTATAGTGATTTCTCTCCCCAGTACTTTATGTCTAGTTCCTCCAATCTAACCCATATAGGGATGGCATGGATATCATTCTTTTTAAAATTCATCTGTTGATCCCATGGCTTCATGATCAAAGGCTTTTTATCAAAGAACACATAAACATCCTTGAGTATTTCGTCTCTTTTCTCAACAAAATTAAATCTAACAATGAAAACACCATGAGTAATAGACCCTACCTTGTCAATTCCTTTAGTTTTCCATATTCTTCTTACAAATCCTTCAATCACCTAAATATGAGGATTCACACCTAAAACATAGAAAACTAACGCATAATTCCAGTAAGCCACTTCATTCTCGATGTCTTCCAATTTAATTTTGACATGATTATGCTTTGAGTATTGCTCAACCCTAGCTTCTTCCTCCGCAAATTTTAGATTCAGATTTAACATAGACAATTTTAAGATTTGAGAAGTTAGGGTTTTACATTTCATAATTCTTTGACCTCGATCCTCAAAAATTTCCAAGCCACCAGTCATCACCTCCAAAATCCCCTTCCCTCTTGGTGTTTCCACGTCTGCCTCCAAGCTATCACAGTCCTCTTTGAGAAAACAATTGGAACCACTCCCAAAATTTCCTCCATAGTTTTTGATTTCTTTCCCCCTATTTGCATATGATGGTCCTTTTTTTTTCTTTTTCTATTTCTTCATTTTTGTTTAAGATTGGTGAGTCTTTCTTGCCATAGCTCCAATCGGAGACCCCAATTGAGAAGCCCTCCCCGGTGAAAATCCCTTCCGGTTAGGTCCTTGATTCGAAAAAAATTATATTTAAAAATAAGGATCTTGTCTCAAATTAAGACAATCGTTGATTAAAGTAAAATAGATATTATTTTGATAATGATCTGTGAGATAAATATTTTTTTTTATTTTATTAAAATAAAAGAATAGGCTATTAGTATTTTTAATGATAATAAATAAATAGAGATAAAAAAATGAAAATGAAAATGAGAAAGTGTGAAAAAAAATAAATGTGAGAGAGGTTTAAAATTTTAATCAAGAGAGAATGTATGTATGTAATATTTAATTGTGATTTAACTGGTGAAAGTTGAAAAATGAATGTCACATGTCATGCTATAATATGAGATGAGAATAAAAAAGTAAACATTACTTGATTACTCAAATTTCCTTTTCTTAGTGTAAATAATTTATGGTTAAAGAGCAACTTAAGAAGTTCATACAATTGATTTTTAATAGATAGATAGTAGATTCTTTAGAGAAACTAACAAGTACTATGTCTATATTTTATCATATTCTTTGAAGGATATTTATTTTAATTTACATATCAATAAAAAAGAAAATATTTTTCATTTATAAATGATATTTTAACAAAAAAAAATATTTTATCATATTCTTATGATATTTATTTAAGAATGCAATTTCATCAATATCATTCTTTAGACCTATGATAAAATTGTAAGACACAATTTTATGCATCAAATTATTAATTTATTTTGAAAATTATAAACTTATTTTTTAGTAATGTATGAATGACTAGACATAAAATTATGTTTTCTTCTATTTGTGTATGTATGGCTTAATAATTTTCTTGTAAAAAATCGAACCAACCGAATCAACTAAAACCGCATTGACACTACTACAGAACGCACAAACAACAACCCTAATTCACCACAGTTCTTCCCAACACTGTGGTGACATCTCTAAAACCGTGTGCTAACATTTTTTATTAAAAATTGTTAGGATATAATAACGGTTATTGTCATAATCGTGGTTATACAATCAAAGCTTTATTGGGTTCGAACATCAACTCCATCAAATAATTTATTCCTTTAACATTAAAGCGCCTTTTCTTAATTATTATTTTTAAATCAAAATTAAAAGGGATGTCACTACAGTGGTTGACTCAACCATTGTTTGTTTGTTTAAAATTCCACTATGGTTCTGGTGTTTAACCATGATCAAATGTTTTACTAATAAATTAAAACAACTTAGTCCCCATTTCTTTCATAAGATGCCCTAGGTGAACAAGCCAACCAGAGACGACAGCAGTACTCGTCTTCAATCGAAAATATTAAACATATTCATCCTTGTTAATTTCAATCACAAATCTTCAACACCTTCATTCTTGATATCATCCTCATCTTCGAAGTAAGGTACTCTTCATCTTCAGTTTTAAATCCTTTTTTTGTTTAATGTTGTATATTGTTCTTGGTTCATATATACCATTTGTTAGTTGTTCTGTTTGTTCCCCCGAATACCTTCCTTATGTTTAATGTTGTATATTGTTCTTGGTAGATATATATCGTTTGTTAGTTATTCTGTTGGATATAGAAGTGAATAAAAATATTATATTCATATGCTTAAGGTTTATAGTTATAGTTTTTGGTTTAGATTTTGGTGTGTCATTCACATTATTATTCGTATATAAACTCTAGAAGTTTTTATGGACCGTATTTGGATGAAAGTCGATATATTAGGTTCGGTTTATGAGAATGGAGTTTATGAAATCCTTGAATGCACTGATAAAAATCTTCTCGACAATAATGGTATCTTTCATTGTCCTTGTGTTAAATGCGAGAATATTCGTAAAGGTACAAATGATGAAATATTCCATCACTTATGTGTTATTGGTATATGTCAAAATTATACAATATGGACGTGGCATGGTGAGGTGGATAATGAGAGAAGTCGGGCATCCCAAAGTGAA